TGTCTACCTTTACATTTCCAACCCTCACAATCAGTCCTGATAACAATTATTCACTATTGTATCACAAGAGACCTAGCCCCATCTCCTTTTATCAGCCCTGCCCAGACAGATTGGATACTACTCAGTGGAGATTCTACCTTCCTCCACGCCCTCTGAATCTAGGCTCCCTCTTGACAGCTTGTAAGCCAGTCACTTCTCGCCTTAGTAGGGCTCCCCTCCCCGCACCCCCATTTTGGGTAGTCAATGTCCAAGTTGCCCATCCCTGTCTACTCTGTGTATGAAGGGGAACAAAATACATTTATACTTTAAGTCTTTTTATTGTGAATTGAGCTAAGGTTTATAAACAGATCATCAGTCCCACAAAATTATACTTTGTGCCATTACAGTGATTACTATCCACTCCATGTACCATCAATTAAAAAGTATTTACCTCTACTCACTGTAATTTTTCCCTCCCTCACTACTCCACACCACACTGTAATCATAAAATGTTTCATTTGGCAAGAAAATCTTTCCTTAACTCTTTACAAGTGGTCTCATGTAATATATTTATACTAAATTACCTCCTGAGGTCACATGATTTGTTCCTCAAGATTCTTTCAGTATTTGTGAGTATGCTAGCGACAAAATTGCTGAGTTTTGTTTATATGGGACAGTCTAGTTCACCTTCATGTTTTGAAACATAGATTTGCTGATATAGGTGACTTGATTTACTGTTGTTGGTTTTTTTTCCTTTGAGAATTTTGGATATGTTATTCCATTGTCTTCTGCTCTTTGTACTGAAAAGTCAACTGTTAATCTTATTGGGGCTCTTTTTAAAGTACATTGCTTTTTCTCGTTATGTATCAAATCTCTTGGATGTGTGCGTCTGCCCGTCTCTGTGTTTAACTTGGAGTCTGGGCTTCCTGGTCAGGTAGGTTATTACTTTTCAGCAGTTTTGAAATACTGGCTGTTTTTAACACACACACTTTTTATTTAAAACACACAACCGTTACATGTTGCAGCGTTTTGCTCTACCGGTTAATGCGCTGGAACGCAATATCGTCGGTTCAAGCTCACCCGGTGTTTCTCTGAAATCCTATTCAGGGTCGCTGAGTCGGAACCGACTTGACAGCATTTAACAATCATTAACAGAGATCCAGCAAACTATAGGAGTCCTGGTGTGGCGTTGTAGGATAAGCACTGGACTGCTAACCACAAAGTTAGTGGTTCAAACCAATCAGTCCCTTGAAAACCATATACGGGTCAGAGTTAGAACCGATTCGATGGCAGTTACCAACACAACAACAAGCGCAAACTATAACCTCAACCTTTTCTTCATTTCACCTCCAAGCATTCCTAAATTCGGGAGCAACTGCCAGCGGTAATATGTAAGAAAGGCTGTGAAGATGGTTTGCTCGTAAAACAGACCACCTGGGATGTGAAACACATCACCACCACAGCCACCTGTATAGTATCTTCAAATGACGCCTTCTACATGCCCCGCCTTTGTGCCTTTACTGCCTCCAGTGCAGATTCACGGCCCTCGGAAAGCCCACGCTGGGCCGTGAAGGGTCGGGGCACACACGATGCCTGGGCTACGGTGGGCCCGAAACCACCATCTGTGAACAGTCAAGAAGGGAGGACACATCTCCATCCCCCAGAACACCACAGAAACGATTCCGGTGCAATATACAACTCAACAGTCTTTCGAGGGCGACAGCGCGCGTCAGTGGCATCAGGAATGTCGGCGCGTAGTGCGCGCGTTAACCGCGTCAGGAACGTCCGCGGCGTACTGCGCGCGTTGACCGCGTCAGAAACGTCGGGCCCTCGTTGGCGCCTGCGCGGTAGAGAGCGCGGAGCCGGTAGGGGGCGCGCTGGGCGCGGCCTACAGGCGGCACTTCTAGGCCGTTCCTAGCCGCACTCGGTTCCACAAAACGCCGGCTGCTGGGCCGCTGCGGGCGGAGTGCGACGGTGTCTGTGAAGTGTCCGGAACTCCGAGTGGCCGACGTACTCGAGGAGGCCGAGACCGAGGAGGCAGCGGCCCCGAGCCGAGCGTACAGTGCGGGGTCATGGCCGAGGCTGCGGCAGCCCCGGTAAGGAACCGCGCAGCTGTGAGCCCGGAGGGTCTCAGCGCTTCAGGCTCTCCAAGCGGGACGTGGGGTCCACGAGAGAAAGAGGGCAGATGGCGGGGACGCGGGTGTCCCGCCGCCTCCAGTCTGGGGACGGGGTCCGGATCTAGGGGATGTTCCCGGGGTGGGGGGGTTGTCAGCGCAGAGAGGCCGCCCCGCGAAGGGCTGTTGCGGGGTTGTGATCCGTCAGCCCTTCGCTCCGCCCCCGACTCGTCCTCGCGTGGCGGGCCCGCAGGTGCGGCGCCGGAGGAGCGCAGTCACGTGGGCGGCGGGTGTCCGCGTGACGAGGCCGAGCCCGCGGCCGCGGTGGACGTGCGTTGGGTCACGCGGCAGACGTTCGCTGGAGGCTCCGCGCCACGTTCGGGGGACCCGAGATGGCTGGACACGGTCCCTGGGCGCTACCACCTAGACGGAGAGGGGCTGCTCGGGTTTGCCACCCGAGAGCCGTGCTAGTGGTGCCCCGAGGAGAGGACGTCTCGGCAAAGGCGCGCCCTGAGCTGCTTCAGGCCGTTTCTTCCCCCGAAAGTGGCAGGAGTGGCCTTTGTCAGTGTCAGCGTGCCCGGTAGAAACACACGGGTATAACGGTCAACACAGGTATAACGGTACTTTCTAGTAGCCACATTTTAAAAGCAAAAACAAAAAAAGCCCCATACGGTTGGTTTTAATGATGTATTTTATTTTCCCCTAAGTTTCAAAATCTAGCGGATATATTAAACCCGTGGCACAGCTCCGTCAAACTGGCCGCATTTCAAGTGACAACCACATGTGACTTTTTGTTGCTCAGTACCTTCGAGTGAGTTCTGACTCTCAGCCACCTCGTGTAGGGTCCCCAAAGCTTTAAATATTTGCGGGAGCAGAAAGGCTCATCTTTTTCCTGTAGAGTGACTGATGAACTTGAACTGCCAGCCTTGTGGTTCAAAGTCCAGTGCTTATCCTATGGAGCCACCATGCTAGCAGCTACTATTATGTTGGACGTTGCAGGTCTGTCTGAATGGAGAAGAATGAAAAGTGAAAAGGAACAGTACTAGGAAAGTGGAAGAAGATGCTATCAGGAGCTAGTAGGGAGATGGGCTTTAGATTGGTTGTTAGGTGCCTTTTTCCCTTCAGAAAGAAGAAAATTGGGGTATTACTGGTAAGTTTGAAGTGGGAAGGTGTGTGAAAGAAAGTAGAAAGTTGAGAGAATTTGGGTCTGTTCCCTGTAATCTGAAAGTAGGAGGCCAGGTCATTTCCTGAGAGGGAGAGGGTGTGAAGTGGACAAGAGCCTACACAAAGTTGATTCCTGAACCAGCAGCTGCACCATCAACTGTGTGTTTCCTAGACCTACTGAATCATAATCCACAGGTGAACAGGAGCTCTAGACATTTCCTATTCGTATGAGAGTGCTGAGGGTTTGTGTTGTTATTGTTAAGTGCCATCAAGGTGGTTCCGACCCATTGAGACCCTGTATAAGGTTTCCAAGGAGCGGCTGGTGAGCTTGAACCGCCGACCTTGGGGGTCAGATCAACTTTGCAGTCCAGCGCATTAGCCCATAGTACCACACCAGGTTTGGAATGGCCACGTATGGAGTTGGAAAGGAAGACTGGAAGGTGTCAGGGCTTGTGTGGTGTCACAAGCCTGTTTGCGGAGGAACAGAATGAGAATGATTAGACTGATTCAAGGAGGAAGTGAGCTGAGCAGGTCAGGCAGAAAGGCCAGTGAAGGGGCTGAAGGGAACTGATGGGATCCCCTAGGGAAGAAAGCAACGCCAGGGAGAGTCTGACAGACGAGCAGACTATGGTCAAGGGACTAGAGCTGTAGATAGGATTGCTGACCAGGTGACATGGGAATAGGGAGTGGGTGAGCTGAAATGAGGAGGTTCATCAAGTTCATAAAGTCAGAGGCTTCCTAGCGGTAATCCTGGTCTAACATACTTATGTAGGCATTTATTCCTTTTGTAGCATTATTTGAGTACCGTCAGTGATAGGACTGCCAGTTGCGCACATTAGTCTACAGTAAGTACAGTATCTGGAGTAAGCACAGTATCAGATTCAATACTTTTGTTCTGCCTCTGTTGTAACTCTCCAGTAGTTTCAAATAGCTGTAATGTTTTCCTAGATTCAACAGTCTCAGTTTATTCAATTGTTAACTGAATGGCTTGGTTGTGGCTTGTAAACAGAATGGTGGCCAGGGGCCAGAGGAGGAACGCTCTGGAGGAGACCGAACTCAGTGAAACCTGGAGAGGCTCTGTGTTCTCCAGAGGTCGAGGACAGGCAGCAGCCTGAGCTCTGGATGCTTGGCTCTGGGGCCTCACATCCTAGGGACTAGACCAGGTTGCTTCTTTGGGTCCAGTGTCACCCATTTGTGGTCTAGCCTAATCAGTCGATCCCTGGCCCACCAGAGCAGTTATCTTGGGTTTTGATGCTTGCACTTTAGGTGGTGGTGGAATGTACCGTGGAGTCTGTTCTGAAACCCCATGTGGGGTTTCCGAGGCTGTAAATCTTTATGGGAGCAGAAAGCCTCATTCTCCCTTGGAACAGCTGGTAGTTTCAAACTGCTGACCTTGAGATTAGCAGCCCAACTCGTAACTATTACGCTACCAGAGCTCCTTTGTACTTCAGGTAGCTGAGGTTTATTCAGGCACAAGTGGTAAACCTTGTCCAAGTAAGCAGCCCTGACCTATCAACATTTGGAGTTAGGGTTCCTTGTAACACTCAGTGCTCTGTCCCATCTCTCCTCTGCACAGACCTCTGAATGGGACTCTGAGTGCCTGGCGTCCCTGCAGCCCCTTCCACTCCCCACGCCCCCAGCCGCCAATGATGCCCATCTGCAGACAGCAGCCATCTCCCTGTGGACGGTGGTGGCAGCTGTGCAGGCCATAGAAAGGAAGGTGGAGGTTCACAGTCGGCGACTCCTGCACCTGGAGGGGCGCACAGGGACAGCAGAGAAGAAGCTGGCTAGCTGTGAGAAGACGGTGACCGAGCTCGGAAACCAGCTGGAGGGCAAGTGGGCCGTACTGGGGACATTGCTGCAGGAGTACGGGCTGCTGCAGCGGAGGCTGGAGAACATGGAGAACCTGCTGAGGAATAGAAACTTCTGGATCCTGCGGCTGCCCCCGGGCCTTAAAGGAGAGGTCCCCAAGGTAATGCTGTCACCTTTAGGTAGACCTTGGATTAGTAGGTATTGATAGTTTTTGTCAATCAGTTATTTAAGTTTTCTCATTTCTTTTAAACAGCTTTAGACTGTGGGAACTGTGAAGTTGTTTCATGTTTTTATTAGGGACCTGTTCCATGTCTAATTTAGTGCCCATATGAAATGCCAGTCTTTAGACTAGGAAACTCTCTCTAATCCAAAATTGGTTACCTGGCAGATGGGTTTTTTTTTCTCTTGCTTTTTCCTACTCATAACTCCTGGATCACTTTTTTCTTTGTTAATTTGTCTGCCAGAATCTTGATGTAGAAACTAAATAAGGTACTGTATAAGTCAGTTGTTCAGCTTGCTGACAAATCTGGGGAGAAAGAGAAAGAGCACAAGAGAAGGAACGTGGAGCCAACTGGTTAATATAAAGACGTCGGATTCTGTGTGGATTGCAAGGTCGGCGCTTCAAACTTACCAGCCGTCCCTCAGAAACCTTATACAAGGTTGCTGTAAATGGGAACCAGCTTGACAGCATTTACCACCACCACCACCACCACCACCACCAGTCCTGACATGGAACCTGCTCTGCAGCATCCTCTGCAGAAGTGTGTTGCACAGTTAGGTCAGCCCTTCTGCAGAGGATAGCTCAACCAAAAGGGACTGAACATTGCTCTCAAGCTTGGACAGCCGCTTTCCAAGCACATGCATACACTGGTTCACTTACCATATGTTTCTTCAACACGCATTCTTTGTTTGATCTGTGTCCTGAGAATACATTGTTAAGTTTTGAAGTGCCATTTGGTAGCTTCCAATTCATAGGGACCCTGTATATTTCTGAAGCTGTACATTTTAGCGGGAGCAGAAAGCCTACTCTTTCTCCTGTGGAGAGCCTGGTAGACTTGAACCACCAATCTTGTGGCTCACAGTCCTGTGCCATTGAGGAGTCACCCCCCGAGGATATTTGTTGTTGTTATTAAGTGCCGTCGAGTGGATTCCGACCCATGGTGACCCTGTATAGGGTTTCCCAGGAGCAGCTTCCAAGAAGCAGAGAGGAAATAACGAGGCCGTGGAGGCTGTGGAGGGCCATCCCTCTGTGGTCATTTGGAGTGTCTGAGCTCTTTGGGACTGTTTGTTTCCTCTGAATGTTGGGTGATCTTTGAGTTTTGCTGACATGTTTCTTCTGCACTGTGTAGGTCTGTTTAAGCAACAGACCCTGCTGTCTTCATAGGGGCTCAATATAGGTGGACTTCACTTGAATGCATCCTGGCCAAGACATACGCCCAGAGGCATGAGGCCTCCTGTCAGCATACTACTGGGATGGCATGCTGTCTCCAGGCAGGTCTAACCTTGCTGTAGAGGTGGAGTCTCTGGTGTCAGCGCTGAATGGAGGGCTATGCATGGGGTTGGCCAGCTGAGAGCTGGGAACTCCTCTGGATTCTTCACTGCAGCCATTTCCTGTGCATAGTCAGGTTCACTGCCGCTTTCTCCCTCAGTTCTAGACCTCACTGCATATCCTTTTTCATGTTCACTGGAGAGCTATACCAAAAACTTGGGTCGAAGGCGGGCCTCTCGTCCCCCTCTTAGGGATGTGGTGCCCCCTGAGCTGTGGTCTGCCATGTCAGTGGCATTTAGGGAGGAGAGGGAGCTATTGGACTCAGTTCACAGTCTTGAACAAGAAGCCTTCCCTGGTCCTTTGTTCCCATTTGTCAGATGCATTTTTTGTTGTAAGCTTATCAACAAACCTTTCTGGTGAGGTAAGATAAAAGGACTCAACATTCATCCTTAGCCCACAGTTGGGTGCTAAGCGGAATGTAAAGAGGAGTGATTGCCTGCTAACTCACGAGGAACAGGAAGTCTGGTTGGGGAGGAAAAGCTGATAGAAATGAAGCAACCGTGTCATGGAGATTGAGGGGTTAAATTTATGATGAAGAGGCTGCTCAGACTCGTAAAATAACCGTAAGTTCTGGCTTTACAAATTCAGTGAGTCAATAATATCCAACACAAGCCACAGAGTGTCTAGAAAATGGAATACAGAGGAAGAAAGCATTAGTATTTACCCAGCCCAGTGCAAGCTGGTCTTGGTTTCAGAGTCGTTTCCCAAGAGTAAACAGCAGTTAGTCTGGCTGTTGTGAGAACCAGCTCCCCACTCTGATTTTATAAACATTAAATAACCTTTTACCAGCCTGGTGGCAGGCCCGGTGGACCTCTAACGTGAAGGACACTCTCCTCATGCGCTCTGTGTGGGATCAGCACTCCAGGGCCTCAATGGTCCCAGGTGAATTGGCCTCCAGTGGGGCTCCTGGCCCTGGAGAAACAGGGCTTCTCAGACTGCTGCAGCAGGTGGGGTCCTCAGAGGGAGAGGACCACCCCAGGGGGCTCCAAGTATTCATGTGCTCTTGTCCCCTATCAGTGTCCTCATACCAGGGCAGTTTAGAAGGCGCGTCCCTGCTGTCCCACACCTGCCCATCCAGGTGAGGAATCTGGAGTAGGTAGTGGACTCTAGGAGAGGAGGTGTTAGCAGAGGGAGATGAGAACTACATACAGCCAGGCCAGCGTCCCCATGAACCGCCCCACCTCACACAACACTGAGCCCGTTCTGTGAATGCTCCACACGTGTCCAGTCAGCGGTCCATTGGTGAGCACCTTCGTGCTCAGTGTCCTGCTCCATGCTGTGGGGGTCCTGCCTTCCCAGAGTATTGCCTCCTGTTGACCCTGCCCTGGGAACTGGTGTCTTCAGCGCTCCATTACCCACGAAGTACAACCCCGACTCCTTCGCCTGACCCCCTCCTGCTTACTGTCTTCCATGACTCCCCCTCACACTCCACCCTTGGACAGAGAGTGTCCCGTTTTGGTCATGATGGCCTATTTAGAATGTCTTTCCCCGTCCTGAAGTTCAAATGGCATCTCTCATAAAGACCTCCCTGATGTCTTCCTTAATGCCCCACATCTTAAACAACTGTTCTCCGATTGTTGTTAGCCCTTAAATGTGTGTGTGTGTGTGTGTGTGTACACTAATGGATGCGGGGAGTTGGAGGATTCTGGTTAGTATATAATCTTCAGTGTGTGTGTGTGTGTGTGTGTCACTACTGGATGCGGGGAGTTGGAGGATTCTGGTTAGTATATAATCTTCAGTTCCAGCCATCCTATCCATGGAACCACGAGTCCACTAGGCAGAGTCCATAACTGTCTAGGATCCTTGTTTACATGCGTTTTCCATTCCTTTGAGCCCCGTTGATAGCCTCCCTGCCCTTTAAGACCAGTCTAGTTCTCTCTCTCATAGAGCCATCCGAGCCCAGTTACAGCTCTATTTTCAAACAGTCTTGGCAATGCTGCTAATTTGGCCTGCACAGACACCAAATTTTTATTATCTTTGTGCTTAGGTCGAACAAATGTAGTTGCTGCTCAGACTGGCCATGTTACATGAACCTCTGTGAATGGTACTCAACAAGTCAAGTCCTTTTCCTCCATGTTAGGAAGGGTTCTGATTTTCTCCTCGAGAACACTGTAATCTGGAAGGTAGACCTGTGTCCCTAGTTTACCTGTATACCTTCAGCACTTCACTTTGTAGCTAGTCGGCTCTTAGTAACAGTTGATTGAAAGCTTGAATTGTACTAGGAGGGACTAACTGCAGCGATTGTGATTTCAGGTGCCTGTGACATTTGATGACGTCTCCATCTACTTTTCCACTTCAGAGTGGGAAAAATTAGAAGAATGGCAAAAGGAACTGTACAAGAATATCATGAAGGGCAACTACGGGTCTCTCGTCTCCATGGGTGAGGCTGAATTGGCACCTTTTGAATGAGGGGCCTGCAGCTCCAGCGAGCTCGGAGCTGTACCAATCTCCATGTCTTCATGGTCACTCTCTGTCCTCACACACATCAGAGTTGGCTTTCAAGCCCAAGATGACTAATTTACCCACATGGGAAAACAGGTCTTGGGAGTGGAGGCCAAGGTTTCCAGGGGTGCTCTTGATTTCTCCCCCAGGGCAAATTCCCCCCTACTCAGTGGCAGGTGGGCGGTCCTGTGACATTCCTAAACATCACACCCTCTGACCTGTCATTACAGTGGGGACCAGATGGGTGGGGACAAGTGGTTTGGTGTCTGTCCACAAGAAATCCCCTCTCCTTGACTGTGCACCTCAAAGGCTTCAGCTCTGTCTTGTCAGACTTCTCCTTGTCACGCCCCTCCCCCTTTGGTCTTCTAGATTATGCCATGAGCCAGCCTGATGTCTTGTCTCAGATTCAACCAGAAGGAGGCCAGGGGGCGCCAGGAGAAAGTGAGCTTCCCACAGATCCCAGTGAAGGTGAGTGAGACGAGGGATTCTGCATTACTGGTCTCCGTTCCATGAGAGTCTTGTACAGTTAGTTTAGACGGCTGTGAATGGAAGGACACAGAGAAATATTAAAAAAAAAAATTTAGAACTTATTATGAATTGAGTGAAGGTTTACAGAATAGATCATCTGTCCCATAGGAATGTAAACGTTTGAGATATTCTGAATTTTTCCTTTAACTCTTTTACGAGGGACAAATTACAGACTGGTTGGGCGTGTGTGTGTCTGTTGACCACTGGTGGGTTTAAAGATGAATTCCAACTTTACCCTGATTTAATTTTGTTGTATTTGGAAATAGATGTTTGGGTAAAACCTAGTGATCAGCAAACCCGTATGATTATTTTCACTTTCTATTTCTCACAAGTAGAACCTGGTATTTCGACATCAGACATTCTGTCTTGGATCAAACAAGAAGATGAGCCTCCTACTGGGGTTCCGCAGGAGACCAAGGAGACCGACCTGTACCCAGGTCCCTATGTCGGTGAGTGATGTGCTGAGCAGGGTTCAGGCCAGGACTAACAAACTGCAGCTGCAGTGGCCCTGAGCGAGCGAGGGCAAAGTCAAGAATGGGCAAGTTAGAAATGAGGCCTGAGTTGATTAGTGTGAATTGGAAGTAAGAAAACATTGCTTTTTTTCCTGTTGTTTAGATGTTTACGTTTACTTATATATCATTTATGTTTTATAAGTAATAAAAGTTTCTAGAGGGAAATGTTTTCTATTTTAATACCCTTAATGACTCTTGTTTCCTGATTTTTGACCAAGAAGCTCTGTGTTTTCTTGTATGTTGTGACTGTACACACAGCAGAACATACACTAATTCAGCAGTTTCAACATGTACAAGGCACTGCCATTGTTTATAGTCATCCTCTTTTTCTGAGCTGTTCCTCTCTCATTAAAATAAGTTCACTCCCCACCCCCCCGCCCCCCAAAGGTCCTGTCTAATCTTACACGTTGTTGGTGTCAGCTTGATCCCATGTCAGTAGTTTTTTTAAAAGTGTAATGCTCAAGGCAGACTTTTTTACTAGTTAAGCTAGACTATTGTCTGGTTTTAAGAAGACTTCAGGGAACATTTGTGGTTGAAAGTTTAAAGATGATCTCAGAGCAATAGTTTCAGTAGTTCATCTACCCACCATGGCTCCAGAAAGTCTGAAGTCCCTGGAAATTGAAATTGTTTTGTATTTTCCCGTTTTTAATCAAGATTCTTCTGTGTAATCTTTCATCAGAATGTTCAGTAATGGTGACCTGTTGCTGCCCGGTACCTCTGGTCTCGTGCCAGTGGAAACAGCTGTTCATGGAGGCAGCTAGCCACAGGTCCCGCATACTCCTCCGTATCCCGACTTCTCCTTTCTCTGCTGCTTCAGGAGGGTCAAGGACAACTCACGCATAATTCAATAGAGTTAGGATTTTCAGAGGAAAAAACAGTGAACATAAAATGTGAGGATGGGGAAGGCAAGCTTTTTTGAAGATTGTATGGAAAGGGCAGAATAAATGTGGGGGTGAAGTGGGGAGACCAGCCAGGGAGACAGACACGTCATTAGGGCACATGTCAGAGCCGTTCCTCTGCTGTGTGACTCCCCCTGCATTTTTCATCCCAGTTAGACTCTCAAGGTGGTTTATACAGGTGAATCCAGCCAACTGTTTCACATCCTCTCTCCTGCGTTTGGTTAGACTCAGAATTGAGAACTCCAACATTTCTGCTCTTCAGGAGGCTCACATGGGGGACATGTCAGTCGCAGGCATACTTCGGCTAAGTGCTGGAGGGAGGGAGAGCAGTTTCCATCAAGGAAATGACGAGCTTGGAGAAGGTGCACATTGAGAAGAGGCCAGATGTGGTAGCACGGTGTTCTCTACAAGGGAGGTGTGGAGATGGCCGGTGGCAGGAACGACTCATCTGGTAGAATCAGGAAAGCAGGAGGAGGCAGAGACCCACCAGTAGCCTTCGCTGCAGGCAGAGGAGCACGGTTTTTGCTAACTGGTAGGCTTTGGCATGTCTGGTGGCAGGCACCTGGTGCCGATCTCAGTCGACCGTGTGTCTTGTCCGAGCTGGTGGTTCTGGGTTCAGCCATAACGCTTCATCCTTTCTTTCAGATGAGGAGCTGGTGGTCAAAGCGGAAAACCTTGCTGGTGCGCCCCTGTGCTCAGAGATTCCCGTCCCCTTCTCTCCAGCAGCCACGGCCAAGGAGACTTTCCCAGATGTGACTTTCAAAGGCCAGCAGCCTACACCCACAGCACCGTTCGCACGTCCTCTAGTTGAGGGACCTGTAACTTTCACCCAGCTGGGGAGCTGCCCACTGCCGCCACCCACTGGGGAGCAGTCATTCACCAGCCGCCCATGTAACAAGAGCCTCAGCAGGGACACGCTGCTGACCCATGAGTGTGACCACGCTGAGGAGTGCCCCCTGCCCTGCGCCCCTCGCTCCAAGCACTTTCCACAGCCAGCTGGTCTCGGTGTCTCCCAGGAGCCTGCCCGTGAGCCCCCCCCTACCTGCCCACACTGTGCCCGGACTTTCACTCACCCGTCTCGGCTCACCTACCACCTCCGGGTGCACAGCAGTGCCGAGCGCCCCTTCCTCTGCCCCGACTGCCCCAAGCGCTTTGCCGACCAGGCCCGGCTCACCAGCCACCGGCGAGGCCATACGAGTGAGCGGCCCTTCCGCTGTCCCCAGTGCGGCCGGAGCTTCAGTCTGAAGATCAGTCTCCTGCTGCACCAGCGAGGTCACGCGCAAGAGCGGCCCTTCTCCTGCCCCCAGTGTGGCATCGACTTCAATGGCCACTCGGCCTTGATCCGCCATCAGATGATCCACACCGGCGAACGGCCGTACCCCTGCACCGACTGCAGCAAGAGCTTCATGCGTAAGGAGCACCTGCTGAACCACCAGCGGCTGCACACGGGCGAGCGGCCCTTCCAGTGCGCGCACTGCGGCAAAAGCTTCATGCGTAAGCACCACCTCATGAAGCACCAGCGCATCCACACGGGCGAGCGGCCCTACCCGTGCACACACTGCGGTCGGAGCTTCCGCTACAAACAGACCCTCAAGGACCACTTGAGGTCGGGTCATGGTGGCTGTGCAGGGGATGGTGACCCATCTGCACAACCGCCTGGGCCCCTCATAACGGAGCTCGAGACTTCTGGCTTAAATGTTAGCACTGCAGGTCTAGAGGCCAGCCATTGGTACGGGGACGGGAGTGGAGGGGGCGGGTTGTGAACCTGTCCTTTCATGGTTCCTCACCCTCACAGCAGGCAGGAAGCCGAAGAGAAAGGCCTGCACTGATGGTGCCCTGCCCGGCCCTGCCCAGGAACGCTTCAAGAACAAGCTTGAGTTCTGGAACTCCACCACGTTTACAGGAACACTACGTTCTGGAGCCCAGCATTCTCATCTTTTCAAAGATTTAACATAAGTGGGAGGTATTCAAATACTGCTCTGAGAAGCAAGATGTGGCCTCTGATCATTGTTCCGGGACCGCAGGCTGGTGGCAGTGCAGCGCTGCGGAGAGACCGGTGCCTGAGGAGGGCCTCAGAGTTCCAGGCGTGACATGGGATTCCTCGATAGGTGTGAGCATTGTTGGACGGACAAGGTGCGTGGGACATCTCTGGTGACATGACTTCCAGACTTTAGATTCCAGCCCAGATCTCTTCCCACACCTGTTTAGCTGCCTTTCCCTAAAACATGGAGACTCAAGATGGCTCTTAGGTAACACTGGGCAGACAAGAACTCTTGACTCTAAAAGCTTTTTAAGGAGAGTGGCTCTTTTCTTTCACTGACTTGAAGCATTCTGGCTCTTACTGGCATTTTTATGGTCTTGGTTAAGAAACTGGGGCCATCTTCTCAGCCCCAACTTTAAAAGCACATTAATGACAGAAAAGCCTAAAACTTGTATCTGAACCATGTTTCTTAGAGTCATTTATATCAAATTCTTACCTTTTCCAAGTCAGTAAGTACATTTTCCATTCCTGCTATCTGATATTCTTGGCAACCGTCAACAGGAAAGATGATAGAACTTTCCAGAAATGTCAACAGTGTCTCAGAAAGCACTGGTGGACTCTCAGGACCCAGTGTCTGAGCGTTGGGGTGGTAGCAGTGTGGTAGCACAGCTTTCACGAGCTGCCACACACAGTGTATGTTCACCCCATTTGGCTTTAGCACCCTGACAATGGACACATGATGGAACTTTCCAGCTAAACCCGAGCGGAGACCTGTGTGTATTCGAGGACGGTCTGGTCCTGCTCGTTTTGCTTTTAGGGACCTTGACGGCCATGTGTTCTCTTGTCAAGGTCAGTTAATCACCAGGGCACATCAGCCTGGCCCTCCTTCCGTCTCTGTGAGTGGGGTATAAGTTCCTTTCCTCTTTGAGATCCCAAATGTTTATCTGCAAAGTCAGGCTGCTGAAAGGAAAAGATTGTGCATCTAGAAACTTAAAAAAAAAAAAATCTTGTGATACATTTCTTCTCTTGCCAAAATCTATCTCTGGCGTCTGTCCAGGCAATGCCAAATAAAACAGAAAAATCAAAGCAGAGAAATTCTTGCTGAAACTTGACTGAAATTTTGATTTGTGGTTTCATTGTTGCCTTAGGCCTGAGATAGAAGACAAGAGAGAAGGCTGAAACCCTAAGTTGGGCAGAAAAGCTCTTTATTCCTGCATTCTTTTGTGTGCCCCAACTCTTTTTGCAATGCTTGGAGCCAGGTCTCTGAGGATTTAGACAAAACACTTGTTAAGGGAGGGATTCGTTTTTCGTCACCGCCTAGCCTAACCCTCACCCTGCCTAGCTGTGCGTAACAAGCCTAGGACCAAGTGTGGGGTTCAGGGAGGCCCTGTCTGAGCATGCTGCTCTCGGTAGAGTTCTTCACGGTATCGGGAACCGGGGGAGACAGACACACGGAGACCTGGGCTGCTGTCCTAACTCAAAGTTAGTCAGAACTCACAGTCTGAGTCTATAGAAGCCTGAAAGCCTAGCAGGAACAAGAGCTTCCTAGCCAAAATCTAGACCCTCTGCCATGGGGGAATGCCAAAGGCCAGGGCTGATCCACTAGGAACCAGAGGTTAGATTCATGCTGACACTTGGCAGCCCTGTAGGACAATGAGTCATAGCTCGCTGCACCTTGCACCTGGACTACCATGAAAACGGAGAAGGATGAAAGTGCTGTCTAGCTGGTGACTCTTTGTGAATGGGTTCAAATGTCAGTGTGTGCTGTGGGGGAGTCCTACGTGAGGTGTGATTTTGGACTAGACAACACCTAAAATTCCTTATCACTCAGCTTATCAACAAGAGAGACTTGTGGATAAAAATGCTGCAGATAATTTCCGTACCCAACTATAGCCAGTAGGGACCCAAACTGGCAGAAAGCGACTAGAACTGAAATACCAATCGAGAGGGAATGGACAGGCCATCCCGGGAGGATGGAAGTGTGTGTTATCCTAGTCCTCAGCCTTAGAGAAACCAGGAAGTTCAACCATGATACTATACTCACTTTCCCTACACCAGTTCCCACCAGCTAGAGTTCCAGGCAGCCCTAAAGAGAGTTTGTTAAAGATTCAAAAGTGTAAGTAAAATGGGTCAGTGAAAAAGAAGCCAACTTTCAACAGAGAAGTACAGTGTGTGGAGAAGAAGCTCTTGGCCCATCAAGGGCTCCTGAAAGAACCGCTTCATTCTGGAGTTGCAGACGTACCAAGGATGGGTTTTCATGACCGTTCAAGGTTGGGAAACAAACCCAGACACAAGCCTTTGCTCAGTCTGCCTCTGGCCTGAGAAGTATGGTCATAAATGGCTACAGTCTCCTTGATCTCTTTGTGCATTTGAACATACCCAGGTTCACTGTGCTTACTGAGTTCTTCTTTGGCACCAGTAGATGGGCTACCGGTTCAGCCACAGACCTGGAACTAGCAGCTGATTGTCTAGAAAGTGGAAAATGAAGACTCCGGTTTTATTGTGGTTTGATACGAGAAGTACTTGGGCTGAGCTCTAACTATAGCAGTGTTCCACATAACCCACCTCAGTGTGAAGGAGAAAGTCAGTAGAGACCCCATGGGAGCTCTGCCAGGTGTCCAATCAACCAGCATCTGTTCCTGGGGAGGATCACATGTTTACTGTCTCGTTCAGAAGATAAAAAGGACATGAGATCCCAAATATATCCCGGAGCTCCGATTCCTCCTGAGAAGCCGCAGACTCCCCTTCCCCAGTCTTAGCTTCTTAGTAAAATACAACGTCAACATTGCCTTTCCTTCAGGAGTGAAGGCCAGGCTTTTTTTTTTTTTTTTTAAAGTTGCTATGGAAGAGGACCTCTGGTGACCTCTTGTACATCATGGTGCTTGATGGCTACTGTGACCCTGTTGTCTTCACTCATTCTGTGTAGCCAAGGAAGTGGTCACTGCCTCTCAAAAGGATCACACATAGAACCGTTCTTTATCTTGGGAGGTATCAGGCTCTTACAAGCAAAAGATACTCAAGTTAGGTCAAACAAGGGGGGAGGAGCACATGGGGCCCTAACACGAGGATAGCTGGGTTAGTACCCGTGGGCTCAGTGTGGGCCTAGATTCAAACCCTGCTTCATAATTGATACAACTGTTGAGTAGTTTCCCTATAACATCTGGATGGCTGTGTGTGTCTCAGAGGTCTGTCGTAGGGCATAGGAGGAACCTATTTAAGGTGTTGGGCCCAGAGCCTGGCATGTTGAAGGTCCTCAGAATGGTGACTGCCAGGAAAAGTTTCACCAGGACCAAGCAGGGAGGGGAGCAAGTCCGGACTGAATTTGAACTGGCTGCACTGTCTTGTTGAGTATCGACTGATGTCTCAGCTCTTCACCTGTCGTCCTTAGCTCCCATTTAACGTCCTCTCCTACTCGTGCTGTCCATAACGCTGGGGCTTTGCTTAGTTCATATTCTGAGAGGAAATTGATTCAGCTCCCGTTTCTATAAAACATCAGCCCACAGATGTTTCCAGCCAGCCCTTGGGTTCGTGCTCATTCGGATGCAGAAGCTGTTGTGGGGACAAAGTTCTGTGGCCTAGTGGGCTCCCTGGGAGTGGGCGCACAGTGGGCTCCGTAAAGACCTGCCTCATGCCATTACGGGCCAGAGTGCGTTGTCGCCCGCAGAAAGGGCCTGGAAGGTGCTGGTGGGGATTTTGCAGGAGCAGCAACTTGTCACTATCTGGTGTGCAGTCTCTCCTTCCCGCTCCCACAGAATGAAGGGATGGCAACACAGTCAGTTCAATGGCCTCAAAACCACCCAAGCAGGCAGATGGCCAAGAAGCCGCACAAGGAGGGGCTGCAGCGCTCTTCGATTGTCGGGTTGGCTTTCAAATAAACTTTGCTAAAAGCTCAGATCGTGTGACTTTATGTTTGTTTACTGGCAAAGCCAGAGTTCGCAGTCAGGATCAGGCTCCGTGTGCTCAGGGAAGAGTGGTCTGTGCAAGCCCTCAGCCTGAGACCAAGCGCAGGGTACTGGACGGACCTTGGTTTTGGTACTGTACTCTATTTGGGGCAAACCACCTGACTTTTCCTAATACAGATGTCTACACCAAACAGGTGTAGAATGTAAGATTTTACTTCCTGAGTCAAGAAGTCTTCCCTTGTTTCTCCTGAGATTTTGCCCCATTAGTGACTGCCTCAGTGCAGTAGAAAAGCTTCTTGGAGAGAGGTGTGTTACTACAGAATAAAAAGTGTCATTCTAACCATAATTGCTTCAAACCCACAAATTGGCAAGCTTCCAGAAAAATTGTAAACTACTTTAAATGTTTATACAGTGTACCTTTGGTTGCATTGTTTTTAAGCACAGGGAAATACAACAAACTAACGCTGACGGTGCTAGGATGGTGGGGCCATCCATGGTCATTTTCCCCTATGCATGTTGTGCAATGAAATACCACCAGCATCCGTTTCCACACATGGCAACCACACAAGTGTTACAGTACAGCTGTGTTTCATAGGGTTTTCAAGCACTGATTTTTTCAGAAGTAGAGCATCAGGCGTGAGACACTGGGTGGACTCAAACCTCTAACCCTTTGGTTAGCAACCAAGTGGATTAAGCATTTTATTGGGATTCTAATAAAATGGTACTTAAAATGTAACACTTTTATAAGAGGAAGGGTTGCTGTGATAAAGGTTCTTGAACTCAGGAGGCCAGGGTTCCAATTGTTTTCTTATCTGTTGTTAAGTGCCATCAAGTTGGCACCGACTCATAACCTATGTATAGCAGAACCAAGCACTGCCCT